GATATACCACTTGCGTATAGAGTTTCAAGAAGCAAGTACCCTTGTTCTATCATGATAGGGGCCTCAGTGACCGAGTGGTCTAAGTAGTCGAACTACTGTATCACTAGCCTGTCAACACCGAGGCTGTTAGTTCGATCCCCGCACGTGGCAGGTGCGCTCGACTCCAATCTCAATTGACTAGGATTGTCAGTTTTCCTACCGAAGGTCGGTGATTCTCTCCGGATTCCTCCACAAAAAAAAAAAAATGACCGCCACGAAATATCACAATAGTGCTGAAAGTGGCGTTAAACACCAATCAATCAATGAATCAATCTATTATGAAATACCACTTGTGTAAAGCGTGTCCATTAGCCAGTTCCTTTGTTCCATCATGATACACCACTGGTATAGGGGGTACATAGTATCCGGTCTTGTTCTTCTACCATGATATACCATTAGTGTAGAGAGGGTCTAGTATCCAGTACCTTTGTTCTATCAAGATAAACTATTGTGTAGAGAATGTCTAGTATCCAGTACCTTTGCTTTATCGAGATATACCACTTGTGTAGACATTGTCTAGTAGCCAGTACCTTTGTTCTATCAATATAGACCACTTGTGCAGAGAGTGTCTAGTATCTAGTTCCTTTGTTCTATCATGATATACTTGTGTAGAGAGTGTCTAGTAGACAGTACCTTTGTTCTATCGTGATATACCACTTGTGTAGAGAGTGTCTATTAGCCAGTCTCTTTGTTCTATCATGATATAACACTTGTTTAGAGTGACCGGTAGCCAGTACTTTTGTTCAACCATGATATACCACTTGTGTAGACAGTGTTTAAAGACACACCCACGTTCATTTTGATCTATAAAGAGGTTAACTCCTAACTATCCTACTGCCTGTCGATACATTTATTTTTGGCATTGTACAAGTCATGTCTTCTTTTACTGTCAATGAAGTTAAAATACTAAATCCCTGGGATGTGTTTTAGCTGATTTTAGTCTGATGCATGATTTTTTTTATTATTAATTGTTTTTGGCTTTTAACTAGCTGTCAGTAACTGCGAGTACTCTCTAATCATACTTTCTTGTTTATTTGACCTCTTGATACTAATTGTAATGCTTTTTTGTTATTTAATGTTATTCGGGGTTATATCTGGTCTTTATACCAGCTTTGTTAAGTGTTTAGTATTACTATAAATTTTCACTTCTTCGTACTATGAACATCAAAATTATTTATTTTGTAAAAATGTTTCCTTTCTATATTTGAACTGTACACGTATATCTAACAACAAAATTATTTTCATTTACCTGTGTTTAAAGTAATTGCAAATGGCTGATATTTTTGTTCAAGCATATTGTTTTTCTTAAATTGTTTAACATTTCACAGCGGTATAACATGTTACTTTAATTATTCTTCCCTTAGTTTATTTATTTTGTATTTACATTGTATCATAGATCAAATTTATTTGTTCAGTGTATGTTCACTGGTGTTAATATGTCTTTTGATTGAGTTAAGCCATTTCAATTGATATTTTATGTGTCTTTTTATGTTGTGATGTTACACTATTGTTTCAGATAAGGGTGAAGGTTTGGTACCATTAAAACGTTTAAACCCGCTGCAATTGTTTGCACCTGTCCTAATTCAAGAATCTGATGTTCAGTAGTTGTCGTTTGTTGATGTGGTTCATAAGTGTTTCTCGTTTCTCATATAGATTAGACCGTTGGTTTTCCCATTTGAATGGTTTTACACTAGTATTTTTTGGGGCCCTTTATAGCTTACTGTTCGGTGTGAGCCAAGGCTCCGTGTTGAAGACCGTACTTTGACCTATAATGGCTTACTTTTATAAATTTTGACTTGGATGGAGAGTTGTCTCATTGGCACTCATACCACATCTTCTTATATCTATTTAGTAGCCAGTGCGTTTGTTCTGTTATGATATACCACTGGTATAGAGAGGGTCTACTATCCAGTACCTTTATACTATAAAGATATACCACTTGTTTAGAGAATGTCTAGTATCCAGAAACTTGGTTCTATCATGATATAACACTTGTGTAGAGAGTTTCTAGTATCCAGTACCTTTGTACTATCATGATAAAACACTTGTTCAGAGTTACCAGTAGCCAGTACCTTTGCTCGATCATGATATACCACTTGTGTAGATTGTGCCTAATATCCAGTACCTGTGTTCTATCATGATATAACACTTGTGTAGAGAGAGTCTAGTATCCAGTACCTTTGTTCTATCATGATATAACACTTGTGTAGACATTGTCTAGTATCCAGTACCTTTGTTCTATCATGATATAACACTTGTGTAGAGAATGTCTAGTATCCAGTACCTTTGTTCTATCATGATATACCACTTGTGTAGACATTGTCTAGTATCCAGTACCTTTGTTCTATCATGATATACCACTAATGTAAAGAGTGTCTAGTAGCCAGTACCTTTGTTCTATCATGATATAACACTTGTGTAGAGAATGTCTAGTATCCAGTACCTTTGTTGTATCGAGATATACCACTGGTGTAGAGGTCCTCTGGGGTGTCCAGTAGCAAGTCTATTCGTTGTGTCGGGATGTACCACTGGTGTAGAGGGTGTCCAGTAGCAAGTTCCTTTGTTATATCGAGAGACACAACTTGTGTAGAGGACCTCTGAGGGTGTCCAGTAGTAAGTACATTTGTTGTATCGGGATATACTACAGGGGTAGAAGGTGTCTAGTAGCCAGTATTATCAATATGCCACTGGTGTTGAGAGTGGCCAGTTCTTTTGTGATATATCACTAATCTTGAGGGTGTCTAGTAGTAGCCAGTACTTTTGCACTATTGTGATATAGCACTGGTGTAGAGTAGAACTCAGTACATTTGTACTCATGTGATCTGGAACATAATATATTGTTAGTATAATAGTCCCAGATGTAATATATACCAGTGATGTAAAGGATGTTCAGTAGCGAGTACTTTTGTACTATTATGTATAACAACTGGTGTAGAGGGTGTCGAATGTACCAGAGACATATAATACAATTGTATTATATGTATCTGAATGTACCTAGCACTTTTTTAAATCGGGATATATCATTGGTGAATGTAGGACAGAAAGTCACAGGACAAAAAGTCACAATTCAGTTTTGAGATTTCCCAGTTAGATAAAACCGTTAATTTCACATGTGAAATAAATCCAATAATTTCACTCCTCTGACATCATACAATGGTTGATGTCAAGGCATTGTTGATGATGTTGCATCAATACAAATTGGAAATGCACAGAAAAAGATATAGTTCAATGTATTTTTATGCCCCCGCCGTGGCGGAGGGGGCATTAAGTTTTACTCTTGTCCGTCTGTATGTACGTCCGTCCGTACGTCTGTACGTCCAAAAATTGGTTTCTGTTCTCTAACTTTAGTTTGCCTCAACCAAATGTTATGAAACTTATACACAAAGCTTATTACCACAAAACACAGATCAAGTTTGAATTTTGGTGGCGTCACTTTAACCGTTCTAGAGTAATGCCCCTTTATAAATGGAAAAATTGCAAAATTTTTAGTTTCCGTTCTCTAACTTAAGTTTGCCTCAACCAAATGTTATGAAACTTATACACAATGCTTATTACCACAAAACACAGATCAAGTTTGAATTTTGGTGGCGTTACTTTAACCGTTCTAGAGTTATGCCCCTTTATAAATGGAAAAATTGCAAAAAATTTATTTTCTTCTAAATATCAAGTAATTTTTAAAATTGGAGTTATCTTCCTTTGTCCATGATTATAGTTGAATCAACTACAATCAATGTTTTATACAATGCAATGTTTAGTTTTGACTTCCACTGATAACACAGATCAAGTTGAATTTGGGTAGTGTCACTTTAACCATTAATGAGTTATGCCCCTTTATAAATCGAAAGATTGCAAAATTTTTAGTTTCCATTCTGTAACTTAAGATTGCCCCAACCAAACATTATGAAACCTATACACAATATTCATTACCACAAAACTAAAACTAAAAGTACAAATTTTTTGTTTCCGTTTTCTAACTTCAGTTTGCCTCAACCAAATGTTATGAAACTTATACACAATGCTTATTACTACATAATACAGATTAAGTACGAAATTTGGTGGCAACACTTTTACCATTCTTAATATGTCCCTTTATAAACATAAAAATTGCTGAATTTTTCGTTTCCGTTCTCTAACTTTAGTTTGTTTTCAACCAAATGTTATAAAACTTATACACAACCGTTCTAGAGTTATGCGTGTTTACAAATAGAAAAATTGCTGAATTTTTAGTTTCTGTTCTCTACTTAAGTTAGCCTTAACCAAATGTTATGAGACTTACACACAATGCTTATTACCACAAAACTCAGATCAAGTTCAAATTTGGGTAGCGTCATTTTTACCGTTCTTCAGTTATGTCCCGTTATAGCTATATGATATGCAAGTGGGGGCATCATCTGTGTCCACATGTGGACACTATCCACATTTATTTTACTTTATGTTCATTAAAACGCCTATGGTCAATTTAACTAAAAAAAATAATAATAAAAGAATTAAAAATTATTAAACTCGTGACCGAACAATACTGATAAATAACTCAAGCGCTACGCGCATTCGTGAATTAATGTGTTGTTTGGTAACTTGTTAAATATTTTTCAATATTTAAATTCTTCGATTACTAAGTTATTCTTTATTGATCTTATGAGAAAATTTGTTTTGTTTTTTTTTAAATAGAAAATATTTTTTTTATAAATTCCATTTACATTATAATTCTTTTCACAATTTCCCTTGTATTATTCGTACAAAATGTGTCAAATTTTTACAACTTGTAGCTTGAAAAAAGCTCAGTAATCTAAACATCTAATTATATTGTGAAAAATAGCAAGATATAAGGCTACATTTTTTGCAAAGTACAGTATAAAAAATTCTGTCATACTGTGTGTATACCGGTACCCCATACTATCTTAACATAATGGGATAAAATCTTCCAATGGTTATCAAGATTTCTGATACATGAAAAGAAAAGCAACATTTTCTGAACTTTTAATAAATGAAGATACAAAACATAACATATAAATTATCAAAAAACTTAGGAAAGCAGTAAATAAAAAAACATTTTAATGACTTTAAATTAATCTGAAAAATTTTATCTGTGGAAAATTTACCAGCTTTTTGAAGTAAGAAATAAAAATATATAAAAAGAATACAAATATTTGAAATAGATAATTTTAGGAATATATAAAACAAATGAATTTTACTATAAAATTATAAATCCTTAAAGACAAGCTTGAAAACAAGTGTTAACACTTAAATGTCTTGCCTGTAGCAATATTGGAATTGTTTTAAAGGCAAACAGGTCATATCATATATATTCATGGACATATACATGCAGGACACTTTCAACCAATAAAAAAAGAACATAAAAACACTTCACCCACAAACCCCAATGACCAATGGAAATGAGTTCAAAGCCATATGACATATCATTCCAATCAATTCACAAACCATATATTGTTGACCTATCATGCATAGTTACTGTGTAACAAATCTCATCCTAAATACTTACCTGAACCTCTGAAGCTAGAAATTGAGGTCAAGGCTAAATGGCATATGTCAGACTGGCATATACACCTAGGAACAAAACAAGAAAAAAAAGTTTTAGACCTAAAATGTAAAGGTAGCTACTAATGAACAGGCCTAATCTTGAAAATTGGACCTGACTAGAGCCTAAAATTGGGGTCAAGGTTAAGGTATGTCAGACAGTCATATACTCCTCACAAATAATTCTCAAACCATATTTTGTTGACTTATCATATATAGCTACAGAGGAACAGATCTTATCCTGAAAAGATTAATCTGACCACTAGAGCTTGATAATAAGGTTATATTCAAGTGACAATGACTGCCTGACAAGGTCTTATCAAGAATGAACTCCATACAATGTTTGTCATCCTAGGAGAAAGTAGGGATAAGCTATTGAGTTTATTGGTAAACTGTAACTCCCCTTTGCTGCTGGAAAAGTTATACTACAACTTTCTTTGTAGGCAAGCTAAAAGTGAACAATATAACCATTTGTCTTTCCTAGGTTAGATATGTTGTTTTCTGAAACTTCCTAAATTTTTAGGAAAACAGTCTCCATTTTGTTTCTCATTAAATTCCAAATGTGATTTTACTCTAGTTATTACATTTAATACAATATCATGTAATGATAATCTAATGAAGTGCTGTGGATCTTTAGATGATCAATGTATGACAGTTATGTAATTATTCTGACACCAAGTATCCTCATTTTTTCATTGGAGCTCCTTGCATAGTAACAACCAGGTTTCTTTTCCCTGAAAATAAAAGGATTTATGTATATATATATAACAAGTGTCTATAAAAAGCAACACATAACATACAAATTTATTTGAGTGGGGAATAATCAGTACAAAGATTAATTCAATTACACAAATAAAATCATGGATTGCCTAGCAATGTAATTTTAAAACACTATTTAGTATGTAATTAAAATATTCACAATGCGATAAAAAATAAAAAAAAATATTAGACAAACTAGCTTCATTGTGCTTGCATCTATCCAGGAGAAATTGGAGCAGATAAGAAACTTTTGCAGCTCACTGTATAATTTGGTCAATAAGATCTAATTGTGCTACATAAAACTAGAGGCTCTAAAGAGCCTGTGGCGCTCACCTTGGTCTATGTGTATATTCAACAAAGGACACTCTCCAACATTGTAGACTTGAATAGAATTCATGACAAAAATCTGTTTTGTTGATCTTGTATTTCTGAGCTTTTAGTCTGTTTAGTTTCTCTCTATCTTCTTTAGTTTTTGCTCAAAACACAAAAAGGGTAAATTAAAAAAAATCTCATTTAAGGGCAATCACTCCTATAAAAAGTGACACTCTACTTACTATATTGGCAAAATTTGACTTGTTAGTAGATCTTGCCTTGCTGATTATTTTTGTGACTTAAATTGTCTATTCATCTATTATAATTTTTATCATATAAGGCAAAACACAAAAAAAAGAGGTAAAAATCGTCATTAAAGGGCAATAACTATAATAAAGAGTCATCAGACAATTTCCTCCTCATTGTCTTTGTTGTAGATCTTGTCTTGCTGATCATTTTTGCTTATTTAAGTTTTCTTTCTATCAATTATAATTTTTAAGATATAAGGCAATAATGCAAAAAATTGGTAAAAATCATCATCAAAAGGCAATAACTCTTATAAGGAGTCGACTGACGATTTCGACCATGTTAGACTTATTTGTAGAACTTGTCTTGCTGATCATTTTTACGATTTAAAGTTTCTCTCTATCTATTAAAAGTTTTCAAGATCATAGGCAAAAATGAAATAAAATGCTTCATTGAGTGCAGCCTGATACGACCGCAGAGGTCGAACCCTGAACAGTTGGGGCAAGTTTGGACACAACATTCAAGCTTGATACTGTCTGAATTTGGATTGTGATCAAATTATAATCATAATGTAGGTTTCCGACACAAAATAAATGTGGTCAAAGATCTTAAAAATTTGAAATGGGACATTTAATTTACCTACCGGTAGAATGGTCTGATATCCAAAATCTAACAACATGGTTAGATTCAGCATATAAAAAAACACCAAAAATTTAATTTTAGTTGAAATCAAACAAAGTTTCATTTTGGACCCTTCAAACCTTAATATGGACTTATTTGAAAACAGGGCCCAAAATAAAAAATCTAAATGCACAATAAGATAAAGCATATCCTACAGCCGCAATAATTCAGTTTTTGATGAAATCAAACGAAGTTTAATTTGGACCCTTTTGACCTCAAGGTAGACCAATTTAAAAATGGGGCCCAATATTCAAAATAGTAATACAAGGTTAGAACCCCCAAAAATTAAAGACTTTAAATTAATCCCATTGAAATTGATTAAAAGATTTGTATTTATTTTCCATTGAAGATTTCTTGCTGTTGCATAAAACTGTGCTATTTAAGATTTCTTGCTATTGCACAATACTGTGCAATTGAAGGTTTCTTGCTATTGCGCAATATCACAGCACAATACTGTGCTATTGTGCAATACTGTGCTATTGCACAATACTGTGCAATTAAAGATTTCTTGCTATTGCGCAATACTGTGCTATTGTCGATTCTGTGCTATTACCCAATATTGTGCAATTGAAGATTTCTTGCTATTGCGCAATACTGTGCAATTGAAGATTTCTTGCTATTGCACAATACTGTTCTATTGCTCAATACTGTGCTGTTGTCCAATACTGTGCTGTTGCGCAATACTGTGCTATTGCACAATACTGTGCAATTGAAGATTTCTTGCTATTGCGCAATACTGTGCAATTGAAGATTTCTTCTTGAAGCTTTTCAAAAAATTTGAAATTTCAAAAATTTTGAAGAAAAAAAATATAACCCCCCCAAAAAAAAATTGGAAAAATTAATCCCCCCCAAATATTTTGAACAACCCCCCCCCCCCCTTTTGGAGTTATTACCCCCAAACCCAATCCAGCCTTCCCTTTGTGGTATGGAACCTTGTAGTACAATTTTAGAGAGATCCATACCCGTAAACACAAGTTATTATCTGGAAACTAGATAAAAGCTTGTTTTTGGCCCCTAATTCCTGAACGTTTGGGGCAATTACCCCCATAAATCAATCCCAGCCATCCCTTTGTGATATGGAACCTTGTGGTACAATTTCAGAGAGATCCATACACTTACACACAAGTTATTGTCCAGAAACTACAAAAATACTTGTTTTTGGCCCCTAATTCCTAAACTGTTGATACCATAACCCCCAAAATCAATCCCAACCTTCCTTTTGTGGTATTGAACCTTCTGGTAAAATTTCATAGAGATACATTCACTTAAACTAAAGTTATTGTCTGGAAACCAAATGTGTCTTTGGACACGGACGACATGATAGCATTATACAATCGCAAAAAAAATTTTGCGGTCAGCGTATAAAAAAAAATGGTAAATTTTGTCATTTAAGGGCAATAATTCCTTTAAGAAGTTATCTGGCAGTTTTGACGTATATGGACAATTGGTAGTGCTCAACATTCTGAACATTCCCATTGGGCCAGGTGAGCTAAACATAAAAGGCTTCTTTAAAAGTTGCAGCATGATACAAGATTACTGACAAGTGATGGCAATAGCTCACAAAACCTTTTATACCAGAAGAGCTAAAAAAAACAACTTCCGAATAAAACTAAGCATTGCTTTCCTTATTTTAGAGAACTTCTCAATCATTCAATCTCAAATGCTACATATCAAGACCCCCTTTTCATTTTAAATCTTTTGTTTGCATTCATTTTCCTCAAATTATTCAATGGTTTACTACACATTTACTTTTATCTGTCCTTTAAATATTTGTATGATAAAAACTTTTGAAGTATTTATCAAGTCATGTAAATGTATTGTATGACCTTGTGGTCAATTTACCTGCAAATATTGTCTTACAATGAGGAAGTAAAATATATTTTTAAATCAATAAGTATAAAAATGGCATTTTCTCAGTCAATAGGGAAAGCACAGACTCCGGCTGTGTGTCAGTTCTGTGAAGAATCCCAAGACATAAAGTGGAAGTGTATAAACTGTGAACTATTTCTATGTCAACTGTGCTGTTCAAAGATACATAGTAAAATCAAGGCATCTATGGAACATGAAATTATAAATTTAAAAGATTTTGAAAAGGAGGATTTTGCCACTTCAGTACGTAAAGTTGACCTTGAAAACATGGTATGCACAATCCATGACAAACAAAAATGTTATATCTTCTGTAAAGACTGCAGTGAGCCTTCTTGTTCCAAATGTTTAATGGAGACTCATAAATTGCATGACTATAAAGCCATTGACGAAGAGTATAAAGAAATAATATCTAAAATGAAGGAATTAATAAAACAATTTGAAGCCAATCTTAAATTCTTTGGTAATGAAAAGGAACAACTACAAAAAATGCTTTCAGATGGTGATAACAATTTCCAAGAAACAAGGAATTTAATTTTGCAAACTGAGAAAGAAATGAAAGAGGTCATTTCAAAACATGCTAAAGACTTATTAAAAGAACTTGAAGCAAAATGGAAACCGTCAAAAAATATTATCAAAAGAGAACTTTCTGCCATCACAAAGAATGAGGAGGAGATGGAAACAAGGAGGAATAACCTATACAAAGCACTGCAGTCTCATCAAGCCATAGACATTTTCTCTACAAGTAAAACGTTAGATAGGTCAATTCCACATAATTCAGTTAAAAAAATCAAAACAAATAAAACGAAGTTCATTCCTACAAATATGGAAGTAAAAAAAGAAAGTCAGTCAGTGCTGGGTGACATTTATACAATTCCCACATTCGAAGTGATAAACACTTATCACAGTGATGTTGAAAATGTGACAAACTTTATATTCTGTAGCGACAAAACAGCATTTATAGGAAGCCTCAGAAGTAAAAAAATACAAAAAATAAAATTTGAAACTAATAATATCCAAGTAGAAAGAGGAATTCAGATAGAAGTAAACGATATGGCAAGTATAAACGATGATGAAATACTTGTGGTAACTGGAAAAAGTGATCTAAAACTATATACCAATAAAATGCTTCGCTGGGCGCAGCTTGATACGACCGCAGAGGTCGAACCCTGAACAGTTGGGGCAAGTATGGACACAACATTCAAGCTTGATACAGCTCTGAATTTGGATTGTGATTAAATATTTGACACAGCATAGGTTCTGACACAGAAAGAATGTGGTCTAAGAACTTCAATTATTTTAATTTACCTATTATGGTCCAATGTCCAAAATCAAAATACATGGTTAGATTCAGCATATCAAAGAACCCCATATATTCAATTTTTGTTGAAATCAAACAAAAAAAAGTTTAATTTTGGACCCCAACTTGAACAAACTTGAAAACTGGTCCCATAATCAAAAATCTAAACACATGTTTAGATTCAGCATATCAAAGTACCCCAAGAATTCAATTTTTGTTAAAATCAAACTAAAGTTTTATTTTGGACCCTTTGGACCTTAATGTAGACCAATTTAAAAAACGGGACCCAAAATTAAAAATCTAAAAACAGGGTTAGATTTGGCATATCAAAGAACCCCAATACTTCAATTTTTGATGAAATCAAACAAAGTTTAATTTTGGACCCTTTTGACCTCAATATGAACCAATTTGATATTACAAAATAAAAAATCTAAATACATGGTAACATTCAGCATATCAAAGAACCCCATATATTCAATTTTTGTTGAAATCAAACAAAGTTTAATTTTGGACCCCAATTTGGACCAACTTGAAAACTGGGCCAAAAATCTAAAATCTAAATACATGTTTAGATTCAGCATATCAAAGAACCCCATATATTCAATTTTTGTTGAAATCAAACAAAGTTTAATTTTGGACCCCAACTTGGACCAACTTGAAAACTGGTCCCATAATAAAAAATCTAAACACATGTTTAGATTCAGCATATCAAAGAACCCCAAAAATTCAATTTTTGTTAAAATCAAACTAAGTTTAATTTTGGACCCTTTGGACCTTAATGTAGACCAATTTAAAAAACGGGACCCAAAATTAAAAATCTAAATACAAGGTTAGATTTGGCATATCAAAGAACCCCAATAATTAAATTTTTGATGAAATCAAAGAAAGTTTAATTTTGGACCCTTTTGACCTCAATATGAACCAATTTGATAGCGGACCCACAAATAAAAAATCTAAATACATGGTAAGATTCAGCATATCAAAGAACCCCATATATTCAATTTTTGTTGAAATCAAACAAAGTTTAATTTTGGACCCCAATTTGGACCAACTTGAAAACTGGGCCAAAAATCTAAAATCTAAATACATGTTTAGATTCAGCATATCAAAGAACCCCATATATTCAATTTTTGTTGAAATCAAACATTGTTTAATTTTGGAGTCCAACTTGGACCAACTTGAAAACTGGGCCCATAATCAAAAATCTAAACACATGTTTAGATTCAGCATATCAAAGAACCCCAAGAATTCAATTTTTGTTAAAATCAAACTAAGTTTAATTTTGGACCCTTTGGACCTTAATGTAGACCAATTTAAAAACGGGACCCAAAATTAAAAATCTAAATACACGGTTAGATTTGGCATATCAAAGAACCCCAATAATTCAATTTTTGATGAAATCAAACAAAGTTTAATTTTGGACCCTTTTGACCTCAATATGAACCAATTTGATAGCGGGTCCACAAATAAAAAATCTAAATACATGGTTAGATTCAGCATATCAAAGAACCCCAAGAATTCAATTTTTGATGAAATCAAACAAAGTTTAATTTTGGACCCTTTTGACCTCAATGTGGACAAAGTTGATAACGGGGCCCAAAAATCAAAAATCTAAATACATGGTTAGATTCAGCATATCAAAGAACCCCATATATTCAAATTTTGTTGAAATCAAACAAAGTTTAATTTTGGACCCCGATTTGGACCAACTTGAAAACTGGGCCCATAATCAAAAATCTAAATACATGTTTAGATTCAGCATATCAAAGTACCCTAAAAATTCAATTTTTGTTAAAATCAAACTAAGTTTAATTTTGGACCCTTTTGACCTTAATGTAGACCAATTTGAAAACGGAACCAAAAATTAAGAATCTAAATACACGGTTAGATTCGGCATATCAAAGAACCCCAATAATTCAATTTTTTGATGAAATCAAACAAAGTTAAATTTTGGACCCTTTGGACCTCAATGTGGACCAATTTAAAAACGGGGCCCAAAATCCAAAAACTTAATACACGGTTAGATTCAGCATATTAAAGAACCCCAAGAATTCAAGAATAAAACCCCATTGAAATTGATCAAGAAATAAGCAATTTATACGAAGTATCTTCTTTTGCACAATACTGTGCAATTGAATATTTCTTGCTATTGTGCAATACTGTACAATTGACAATTTCTTGCTATTGCGCAATATTGTGCTATTGGATATTTCTTGCTATTGCGCAATACTGTGCAATTGAAGATTTCTTGCTATTGCGCAATACTGTGCAATTGAAGATTTCTTGCAATTGTGCAATACTGTGCAATTGAAAATTTCTTGCTATTGCACAATACTTATAATATAATAATTTACACATCCTGTTTGGTGTGTATCTCCTACCATATCATTATTATTTGCTTTTAAATATTAATCAGAAATAACCAACTTAAAATGGAAAATTTTAAAAGAAAAAAAAAAGGAAAAAAAGAAAAAAAAAGAAAAAAAAAAAAATTCCCCCCCCAAATTTTTTGAACCCCCTTATGATTCATCACCCCCAAACTCAATCCCAGCCTTCCCTTTGTGGTATGGTACCTTGCAGTACAATTTCAGAGAGATCCATACACTTGAACACAAGTTATTGTCTGGAAACTAGAAAAATGCTTATTTTTGGCCCCTTTTGGCCCCCAATTCCTAAACGTTTCGGGCAATTACCCCCAAACTCAATTCCAGCTTTCCCTTTGTGATATGGAACCTTGTAGTACAATTTCAGAAATATCCAAACACTTACACACAAGTTATTGTCATGAAACTAGAAAAATGCTTGTTTTTTGCCCCTTTTTTGGCCCCTAATTCCTAAAATTTTGAGGCAATTACCCCCAAAATCAATCCCAGCATTCCCTGTGTGATATGGAACCTTGTGGTACAATGTCAGAGAGATCCATACACTTACACACAAGTTATTGTCTGGAAGTTACAAAAATGCTTATTTTTGGCCCCTATTGGCCCCTAATTCCTTAACTGTTGGTACCATAACCCCCAAAATCAATCCCCACCTTCCTTTCGTGGTATTGAACCTTATGGTAAAATTTCATGGAGATCCATTCACTTAAACTAAAGTTAGAGTGCGAAAACCAACGTGTCTTCGGACGACGCCGGACGACGCCAGACGACGACGACGACGACGACGACGCCAACGTCATACCAATATACGACCAAAAAATTTTCAATTTTTGCGGTCGTATAAAAATGGACAATTTACTTCATTCAAGTCCTTTTCCCCCTTAAACACTACATGTGTTCATGTAACTAGAGACAATAAGATAATAGTAGGTTTAGTGGATTCCAGTCCTGATGTATTTCTTGTTACAAAAGACAGTCACAGAAAAGTTGTGATTATGAACCAGGATGGTGACATACAACATACTATTGAATATGATAGAGACAATCAGAGACTGTTAACATTTCCTAATAGAGTCAAAAGTTTCAATGATAGGAAAGTTGTTGTAGATATTATAAACAATAAAGGGGAGGGTAGAGTAGTAATGTTTGATTATGGGGGACAATTCCATTGGACCTACAATGGAAGTAGGCATGTCATTTCTGATCAGGTTAAGTTTTTTCCAACAGATGTGTCGATAACCTCTACAGCAATGATTTTAGTTTCTGACCATCACAAACATGCTATTCATGTATTAAGTCCTGCTGGAGAGGTTATTGTATGTCAGGATGTAAAAGTCTTGGGTGCAGAATTACCCTTCAGTCTTGATATTGATAATAATGAAGTTTTATGGATTGGATGTAACACATTGAAAAAAGACGAAACTACAAAGGCTAAGATAATCTGTGTTAAACTAACTTAACCTGGGGGTTTCTGTCAAAATACCTAAAACATGATTGCTTAAGCTTAGTAACATCTTTTTATTAATCTGAAAGGTAAGATAGGTCCAGGTTATGATCTAGAAATACTAAAAAAGTAGGGGGCATCACGATAATATAGCTCTTTTGAGTTGTTTCCATTTTCAAATTCTTTCAAAAAGCAGGCAATTGAAATATTATTTGTCAGAAAGTTCATGACCTGGGGTCATTGGAATGTAACCCCTGAATGTTATGTTTCAAGATCCACATCACGGTAGTTGGTTGAACAGCAAACTAAGATGATATATCAAAAAGATTGAGCTGATTTGCACCTGAGACTCCCTTTGTTCAAATGCAACAAAAAGATCATTAATAGTTAATCAGGATTATATTATAGATTAAATTACACCCTAGCATTTTAGGTTAGCTGACTTCTAAACATACATGAATGGTGGTCAGGTGTCGTAATAAAATTCTCAGTCACCCAGAATAATAATGAAGACAAAAAAAAACCCTACTTTTATTTACCGGTAAGTCCAAATTCACAAAAACTCCTGATAATGACTGATTCTCTAGAACTCTTGAGAGGGATTAACATACTCCAGTATTACCCAAATTCAAATGTTCATTAATTCAAATTTTTTTCAAAATATATTTTTTATGCACAGCAATTACATTCTCTTTTAGAGTTTGAACAGAGCTTATAAATACAAGATGAATCAGACAATATCAGTAACGAATTTTTCAAATGTAATAATTTTCATAGAACAATGTAGCTGTAGGATAGTCACTTTAGTGATGTTCATCTTTGTTGATAGTTAGTGATCAAATGTTACACACATGTAATTTATGAAATAAAAGAATATCTTAACAGTTTTCAGTTAATTATTAGTTACTGGTGCAACGGGCCAGTATAGGCTAAAATTCCATCATTTTGCATCCATCATTCATGTCCTCTGTCTCACCAGTAAAGTAGTAAGTTTGGTAAGGACCATTATCGACCCCCAATATGAAGTCCATGATTTCAAGACAAAAGAAGTTTCATGTTATTAATGTAAAAAAGTGAAAAATAATTATTTTTGCTCAGCTTTTCGTATAAGGCATTAACATCTACACCAGAA